ATCTGGTATCTTTTGAGCACATAACATATGCTCAAAAAGTACAGTGCTTGATAAACGGATCAAATGGCCTTAAGGATGGACGTGCTGGTGCTCTGTGCTTCCTGTTGCACAAACATTTAGGTCAGTGGTCCAGCCTTTTTGGCATCAGAGGCCTGTTTCATGGAAGACGATTTTTTCACACTTTGGAGGGGGCGGATCGGGATGATTTAAGCATACAATATTTATTGTGCACCTTGTTTTGATTATTATTCCATTGTAATATATAATGAAATAATTATTTAGTTCACTATAATGCAGAATCAATGGGAGTCCTGAACTTGTTCTCCTACAACTAGATAGTCCAAGCTGATGGGAGACAGTGACATCCAAAGGGTGTTGCTTATGTCCTGAGCTCCACCTCAGATTAGCAGGTATTAGATTTTCATAAGGAGCATGCAACCTGGATCCCTCACATACACAGTAATAGTAGGGTTCATATATGTATGGGAATCTAATGTCACTGCTGATGGGCCAGGAGGCAGAGCTTGGGCAGTGATGTGAGTGATGCGGGATGGCTGTAGATACAGATGGCCTGCCCCTCACCTCCTGTTGTGTGCTGGGTTTATAACAAGCCAGGGACCAGTACCGATCTATGGCTGGGGGGTGGGGACCACAGTTTCAGGCTCTTGATGCTTTGAGTCAAGCACTGATTTTAGAATGCAAACACTTGAGGAACAGACACATTTCTTTGGAGCCTTTTGGAGCCCTTGTTTCTTTCCTACGACTCTGACTCAGTACACCTGAAGCATACTAATGGTGGCTGTGTGGTGTCCTGAGGCTCTCTGGCTGGTGCAGCTTGGTGATACTGGAGAAGACTCCATTCAGGGGCGAGAGGCAGTCCAGGAAGCCGGTGAATGTGCAAGCAGAGGGAGGAGGCTATGAGCTGCGGAGGGCCGGCAGCCTGTCTCCACGCCACAGAGCTGGGACTCTGTACCTCTCCTGGCCACAGGATGGGGAGAGGAGGCCCCGACAAGGCAGGAAGGGGAGTACTAGAAACACATGGTTCCCACTCTCAGCAGCTTTCCTCTAGTCCAGCTTCACCATGCATTGACATTTAGAAAATTACTTTAAAGACACTTAGGAAGTAGCCTGATAACCAGTGGGGAGCAGATGCAAAAGGAGACTGTCAGAGAGATGTGTGGAGGGGGAAAGGGTGGTCATGGGAGTGGACCCACCTTCCTGATTCCTCTGAAATCCATGTTGGAGCTTAAAGGATGCAAAGTCTGTGCTTCTGTGCCTATTATGGAAACAGTTTTCATTTGTGGGCATCCGTCATGGTCCTAAGCACCCCGCATCATTATTTAATTCTCACAGCTGTGCTTACCCCAGCTTACAAACAAGAAAAATGAGACTCTAGCAGCCTAAGTAACTTGCCCCACTTATACAGCTAGTGAGTAGCAGAGATGCAACTTGAGTCCTCAAGTTTGTGTCTCTAAAACTCAATTTCCATTCACAATAATAAATGTAACTCAGGGAAGGATAGGATTTTTTTGTATTTGTGCAAATTCCTGGTGCACATGAATTTTCGTTACATGTACTCCACAGTGGTGAAGTCAGGTGCTGAGTTACCCATCCCTGAATACAGCCCATTTCTGTTCAGCATAGTCGTGCTACTCTGCTATCAAACAGATGTTATTCTTTCCATCTTCCTGTATGTTTGTACCCTTTAAGCCTCTTTTCTTCATTCTCCCTCCTCCCCCCACTCACTTTCCCAGTCTGTTCTCTGTCTTTCCACACTTGACCTCCACAATGTTCAAAATTTTTAGCTCCCACATATAAATGAGAAATATGCAATATGTTCCTTCCTGTGTCTGGCTTATTTCTCTTAAAATAATCACCCCAGTTATATCTATGTTGCTACAAATGACAGGATTTCATACACCACATTTTTTATCCATTCATCTGCTGATAAACACTTAAGTTGATCCCTTATCTTTGCTATTATGAACGTGCTGCAGTAAACATGGGAGTGGAGATATCGCGTTGATATACTGTTTTGTTTTGCTTCCTTTTGGGTAAATACTCAATAGTGAGACTGCGATTTTGAATGGTAATTCCATGTTTAGCTTTGGCAGAAGGCTCCCTCTTGCTTTCCCTAGTGGCTGGACTCATTTGCGTTCCCACCGGCACTGTGTAGTTCCCTCTTCTCTACATCCTCGTCATCATCTTTTTGTCTTTTCATTAATAGCCATTCTGACTGGGGTAAAATAATATCTCAAGGTAGTTTTGATTTGCATTTCTTTGATTATTAGTGATGTTCAGCATTTTTTCATATATTGGCCCTTTTGTATGTCATCTTTTGAGAAATACCTATTCATGTCCTCAGCCCACTTTTTAATAGGATTATTGGTTGTTGTTGTTGTTGTTTTTTCCTGTTGAGTTGAGTTTCTTGTACATTGGGGTTATGAGCCCTGCGTAGGATGAATAATTTGCAATTATTTTCTCCCATTCAACAAGCTGTCTCTTCACGCTGTTGGTTATTTCTTGTGCTGTGCAGAAGCTTTTAAGTTTAATGAAGTCCTACTCCTCTATATTTGTTTGTGTTGTCTATACTTTTGAGGTCTTAGTCATAAATTCCTTGCTTAGAACAACATCCAGGAGAGTTTTTGCTAGGTTTTCATCTAGCATTTTTATACTTTTGAGGCTTATATTTAAGTATTTGATCCATTTTGAGTTGATTTTTGTGTATGGTGAGAGAGAGGGATTCAGTTGCATTCTGCACGTGGCTGTCCAACTTTGCCAGTACCATTTATTGTTGAGTGTTTTTATCATGAAAGAATGTGCTTTCCTCAGTGTATGTTTTGTCTGCTTTGTTGAAGATCAGTTGAGTGTATGTGGTTTTATTACTTGATACTCTACTCTGTTCCTTTGATCTATTTGTCTATTTATATGCCAGTATCATGCTGTTTTGGTTACTATCACCTTGTAATATATTTCAAACTTAGGTAACATGATGCTTCCAGCTTTGTTCTTTTTGCTCAGGATTGCTTTAGCCATTTCGGTTATTTTGTTGTTGTTGTATATGAATTTTAGGTGTTTTGTTAGGGATTTCATTGGATTTGTAGATTTATTTGGGCATTATGGCCATTTTAATAATAATGATTTTTCCAGTCCATGAACATGGAATGTTTTTCCTTACCTTTTTTTTTTTTTTTTTTGGTGCCATCTTTTTTTGTGTGTTTGCCATCTTCAGTTGTTTTTTCAACAATGTTTTATAGTTTTCCTTGTAGGAATCTTTTATCTTTTTGATTTTTCTTTTTCATAGCTATTGAAAATGAGATTCTTGATTTTTTTCTCAGCTAGATCATTATTGATGTATAGAAATACAGCCACATAGGTGAATTTATTTATTTTGTATCCTGCCATGTAGGTGAATTTATTTATTAAATCTAGGAGGGTTTTTGTAGATTCTTTAAGTTTTTGCAAGTATAAAATCATATCATCAGTGAAGTGGGAGCACACCATCAGTTTGGATTTTTATTTCTTTTTCACTCCTGACTGCCCCGGCTAAGATCTCCCATACTCTGTTGAGTAAGACTGGTAAAAGCAAGCATCCTAGTCTTGTTCCAGCTCTTAGAGTAAATGCTTTGAGATCCCCCATTTAATGTGATGTTAGCTGTGCTTTTGTATATATGGCTTTTTTTATTTTGAGATATCTCCCTTCTATGCCTCGTTTGTTGAGTGTTTTTATCATGAAAGGGTGTGGAATTTTATCAAATGCTTTTTCTGAATCTATTGAGATGATCATATGGTTTTTAGCCTTCATTCTGTTGAAGTCATGGATTATGCTTATTCATGTCTGTATACATGGAACTGTCTTTTCATCCTACTTGATTGGAGTGTATTATCTTTTTTAAGTGATGTTAGATTTAATTTGCTAGTATTTTGTTAAGGATTTTTGCATTTATGTGCATCAGGGATATTGGCATATAGTTTTCCTGTTTGTGTGTGTCCTTGCCTGGTTTTGATATCGGAATGATGCTGGCTTCATAGAATAAGTTAGAGAGAATTCCCTTCTCTTCAATTTTTTTTTGAACAGTTTCAGGAAGTTTGATATTAGTTCTTCTTTGCACGTTTGGTAGAATTCAGCTGTGAATCCATCTGCTTCTGGGCTTTCCTTTGTTGGGAGACATTTTATTACCTAGTTCAATCTTGCTACTTGTTATTTTTCTGCTCAGGTTTTCTATTTCTTCATGATCCAGTCCTGGTAACTTTTATGTTTCCAGGAATTTATCCATTTCCTCTATATTTTCCAATTTTTCAGTGTATAGTTGTTTATAATTGTCTCTGATGATCTTTTATATTTTCTTTAGTAATTGTAAGGTATCAATTATATTTCTATGGTATCAATTGTAATGTCCTTTCTTAGTCCAGCTAGCAGTTTGTCAATTCTGTTTATCTTTTCAAAGAACCAGCTTTTCATTTTGCTCATCCTTTATATTGATTGTTTGTAGTCTGTATTTTACTTAGTTCTGCTTTGGTCTTTTTTATTTCTTTTCTTCTGCTAATTTGAGGTTTGGATTGTTCTTGCTTTTCTAGTTCCTTGAAGTGCGTTTTTAGATTGTTAATTTGTAATCTTTCTTCCTTTTCTACGTACTCCTTTATTGCTATAAACCTCCCTCCTTGCACTGCTTTGGCCATGTACCATAGGGATATACTCACTGGTATATTGTCTCTCCATTTTTGTTTGTTTCAAGAAATGTTGCGATTTCTATCTTAATTTATTCATTCTTAATGGTCTTTCAGAAACATGCTTAATTTTCATGCATTTGTATAGTTGTCAGAGCTCCTTTTTGTATTGATTTCTGTTTTTATACCATGTGGTCTGAGAAGATGTGATTTCGATTTTTTAAAAGTGTGCTGGCCCTTGTTTTATGGCCTGACATATGATCAGATAAGATGTTGACAGAACAGAAATCCCACTACCTCGTACTTACTCTTGCTCCTATTCACTGCCTCAGGTAATTTGTTCCTGGTGAGTCTGGCATTGGCTGACCTGGTGGTGGCCTTGTACCCCTACCCGCTGATCCTTGTGGCCATCTTCTACAATGGCTGGGCCCTGGGGGAGGTTCACTGCAAGGCCAGTGCCTTTGTGATGGGCCTGAGTGTCATCGGCTCCGTCTTCAACATCACTGCCATTGCCATCAACCGCTATTGCTACATCTGCCACAGTGTGGCCTACCACCGGCTCTACCGGCCCTGGCACACGCCCCTGCACATCTGCCTGGTCTGGCTCCTCACTGTGGTGGCCTTGCTACCCAACTTCTTCCTGGGGTCCCTGGAGTACGACCCTCGCATCTACTCCTGCACCTTCATCCAGACAGCCAGTGCCTGGTACACGGTGGCCGTGGTGGCTGTCCACTTCGTCCTCCCCATCAGCATCGTGTCCTTCTGCTACCTACGCATCTGGGTGCTGGTGCTCCAGGCCCGCAGGAAGGCCAAGTCAGAGAGCAAGCTATGCCCGAGGCCCAGCGATCTGCGGAACTTTCTCACCATGTTTGTAGTGTTTGTGATCTTTGCCATCTGCTGGGCCCCCCTTAACTGCATTGGCCTTGCTGTAGCCATCAACCCAGAAGAAATGGCTCCCCAGGTCCCTGACGGGCTATTTGTCACTAGCTACTCACTGGCTTATTTCAACAGCTGCCTCAATGCCATTGTCTATGGGCTTCTGAATAAGAACTTCCGCAGGGAATACAAGAGGATCCTCTGGGGCCTCTGGAACCCAAGGCACTGCTCTCAGGATGCTTCCAAGGACAGTGATGCCAAGGGCCCACAGACCCCAGCCCCACCTGCTGCTAATGGCCAGCACCCCCCACCTGCTGTTAATGCCCAGCACCCTGTCCAGGAGGATGCTCCCTAGCCTGGATCTGAAGCATACCAGCTATGCCACAAACTCATGAAATGGTGGAGTGAATCTGCCATGAGGGTGACCTCAGGCAGCCTGTTGGGCCATGCCGTCCCATGGGCATCCACAGCCCATAGCTTCATGCAAGGACAAGCCACCCATCAGCGCCCTGGGTTCAGGCTGCCCCAGCGATGCCCACAGTCACTGGATTTGGCAGACATCCTCTCAGGAGTGTGTTGGGGGTTTGGTGCACACACAACCAAGGAAGAAACAGAATGAGAAAGGCCTGGGGCGGAAGAGGCCAACTTCTTTCCATGCCTGCCTGCAGTTTCCCACTTTGGCCTCTTGGCTGCTTTATCCCCTTCCCAAAGGGGTGGCAGGAATGGATTTTCCAGTCAGCAAGGACCAAAGAATAAAGTCTGCAGGACTAGAAGGTGGGTGACTCTGCAGGGGCCGGGGGTGGAGCAGTGCCTTTCAGAGGGCAGGCGTTCCATGCTCTCCCCGCTGACCTACCCTGCACACACATACACACACATCATATCACAGTCACACCACACTACACACACAGCAAACCACACATGCCCACATGCACACACACCATACTACAGACATGCCACACACCCACACCACACATGAAACCACACAGTACAACACACACTCACATGCACGCCGTGACACACACACCAAACCACACAATGCATCCATACACACCAAGCCATGACTGTATGCACACCTCACACAATACACAAGACAGCATATCCACACCTCACTGCACACATACCACCTACACTGTACACACAGAGTACACACACACCACATACACACATTGCACCCCTCAGGCATCTGCAGCAGTCAGCCAGGCTTCCTTTCCTGGTTCCATCATGTTTAGATTGTGTGACTTGGGGCAAGTCCCCTCACCTGCTTATTGCTCAGCTTAGTCATCTTACAATGGCCAGAGCCACCTCCCAGGGTGGTTGTGAGGCACTGAGATAATCCACCTGCAGCACTGAGGACACGGCCTGACACGGGAATCACTAGCTTTTGTTATAACTCTAACTACATTAAATAAAAATGTCCTTGAAAGAGAAAAGAAGCCATATACCAAGACAGAAAGGGAAGGGGAGGAACTGGAGTTTGGAGTCAATGGAAAGGGGGAGGCACAGCTCTACTCCAATTCCTTTCTGTGGTTATGCATTTGTGGATTTTGTAGAAATCTCAAGTTTTCACTTAGCACCCACAAATTTAGCTTTCTCCATCATGCCCTTTGTGGGCCAGATCCGGTTTGTTGCCTGCCCTGTGGGGAGGCCATGGTCTGGCAATGACTTACATCAGCTAACATCCACTGGGTGTGCTCATAGCACCAGATGTGTGGTGAGGGCTTCCTGTGCATCATCTCATTTCATCCTCACAAACTCTTAGAAATAGATATTATCTGTTTTCATAGTAAAAAAGTGAGATTCAAAGAAGGAAAATGATGTCTGGAGTTCATAGAGCTCTCAAGTCTATCTGACAGCAGCACCCCACTTTTGTGCTCCTTGTCCCCCTTTGGAATGTGTGACAGGAACAAACTGCAGGCAGGTAAGTTCCCCAAGTACATAAGTCCCTTCAGGGGACTGAGAAAAATTATCTCAGTGGACTGGTGACTTCCCTGAATGAAGGGCCTGGGATTTACTGACCTCTTAGCATTATAGTGGAAACTCCCTCCTCCCGTAATGTGAGGAATCTGGGCTGGCTGGTGTTGCAGATCTTCTGGGCTCCACCAACAAGGTTTTGAAGGTAGAAATGTGGGGCAAGTCCTGGGAATCTGATTCTGACAGTGGACGCCCTTGACCCAACTGATAGGAATGTAAGTATCATAGCCCTGGTCATTGAGTGTTAGGGCCCACTTGCCAAGGAGTCCTCACAGTTCACACCTCAGTCTAGGATGGGGAGGCGTCCCAGTTCACATCTCAGTCCAGAGAAGTGCAACCACTTTTCCTGGCTCTGGGCAGAGCATAAGGCTGACCTAGTCAGCCACCGTAGCTCTCTGTCCTTACTTCCTCCCCCTACCCCCCACACCAACTTAGGGATTTGCTTTTTATTCCCCACTTGGAGGAGGAGGAAGAGGCATCAATTTCATGGCAACAGAATGTCCCCAGCTCCTCCCCATATCCCTATCTTTCAGCACTGAATTGAATGAAGGGCACGTGCTCAGTAAACACATACTGGGGGAACAAACGCTCTCTTAGTTACCTGGCTTGCCAGCGCTCAGCACTGACAGTCCACTAACCAGCACCTTTTCTGTGTTTGTAGGTTTTCAATGATGAACCAAGAGCCCAGAGAATGAAAAAGAATGGAAAACTCAGGACGCAGGGTGATGTATACACTCAGATAGAATTGTCTCAGATAGAATGCTGAGGTGCTGGCTTTAAATAAAGATGATATTGCTAAAATAGTGTGGAAACTATATCTGTCGTCTACCTCCCTGACTCTGGACAATCTGGTCAGAGGTGTCACCTGGCTATCTTCCTCCCCATGTTTCTGGAACTTCCTGTGAACCCCTCAGTTTCAAGTTCTCTACGAAACCCTCACCCATCAAGGGAACTCAAATCTGGGTCCAGATTTCTGACTGGGTTGACACGTAGGGTGAACCCATTGGCCACACTGGGTCAGGCCAGAAGCCAACACTGCACACAGCCCATCTGTGCTACACTGTGGGCACCCGTTACTATCCACCTGCTCCTCTTCTTCCTTCTTGTCCATGGTAGAAATGCTGGGCTTGCCTTTTGCTCCATATTAACAGCTTTCCCCGAGGGCTGTATATCAGACTCACTTGGGGAATACTTAACTACAGACTCACAGTCTGAGGCTGGGGTCGGGAACCTCTGTGTATCTTGCAAATGCTTCTTAGGTGCTCCTGTCTGCAGACCTGGCTGAGAACCCTGCTCCATGAATGCTTCCTGGGTGCTCATCCTCACCACTGTGGTTATCACTGCTCCCTCCACCTGGAGGTCCCCAGCTGCCAGCTCCACAGTTCCTCCTAGTGCGTACTAAGTATACAGTCCATGCTGGCCTGTTCTGAGGACTTTATACTAATCAATTATCAATTATCATATTTAATCCCCACAACACTTCTGGAGGGAGTTCTATTATTTATAGAAGAAGAAACTGAGGCACATGTAACTTGTTGAAGTTCACATAACTAATAAGGGTGGAACAGGTAATTTGACTACGGAGCCTGTACTTTTGACTACTGGCTGTACCACCTTCCTCAAACACTGGTGTCCACAAATGGGATCACTGGGCTCTGTGACAGCTGCATTTTTAATTTCTTGAGTAACCTCTGTAGTGTTTTCCATAGTGTCTGTGACATTTACATTCCAATCAACAGTGTGCAAATGTTCCAATTTCTCCAGAAGCTATTCAACAGGTTTTTTGTTTTTTGGTTTGGTTTTTTATGATGGCCTTACAGGTGTGAGATGATATCTCATTGTGGTTTTGATTTGCATTTCCCCAACAATTAGTGACGAGCATCTTTTCATATGCCTGTCACCAATTTGTATGTCTTCTTTGGAGAAACATCTATTTGAACCTGCTATAAACCGAATCTTTATGTCCCACCCTCCAAAAAACTTTACACGTTGAAATGTAATACCCAATGTGTTGGTGTTTGGAAGCGGGGTTTGGGGGAGGTGATTACATCATGAGATAGAGTCCACAGAATGGGGTTAGTGCTCTTACTCAAGGGACTCAGAGAGCTCAATGGCTCTTTTCACCATGTGAGGTTACAGTGAAAAGACTATTTGTGACCCAGGATGTGGCCCTCAGCAGACATCAAAGGCACCTTGATCTTGGACTTCACAGACTCCAGATGGTGGGAAATACATTTCTGTTGTTTGTAAGCTACTCAATCTAAGGTACTTTGTTATACCCACCCAAAATTGAGAGTTATTTTGTACCTTATATATTATGGCTATTAGATGTGTGATTTGCAAATATTTCCCCCATTCCACAGCTTGCATTTTCACTCTATTTAAATCCTTTTCTATGCAGAAGTGTTTAAGTTTGTTGTAATCCTAGTTGTCTAGTTTTGCTTTTGTTGTCTGTTCTTTTGATGTCATAGCCAAGAAATCATTGTCAACACCAATATCATGGGGCGGTGTCTGTGGCTCAAGGATAGGGCACTGGCCCCATCCCATATACTGGAGGTGATGTTCAAATGTTCAAACCCAGCCCCAGCCAAAAAAAAAATGCAAAAAAAAAGAAAAGAAAAACCAATATCATGAAGCTTCACCCTTTTTTACTCCTAGGAGTTTTACGGTTTCAAGTCTTATTAAGTCTTTACCCCATTTTGAGTTGGTTTTGTATATGGCATAAAATAGGGATCGAAGTTTGTATTTTTGCATGTGGATATCCAGTTTTCTCAGCACCATTTTTGGAAGAGACTATCATTTTCCCATTGTGTATTTTTGGCACCCTTGTCAAACTAACAATAGAAGGAAATTACCTCAACTTAATAAAAGATACATCTGAAAAGCCCACATCTGGCATCATCACACTCAATGGTGAAAAATGGAAAGCTTGTCCTCTAAGATCAGGAACAAGACTTGTGACCACTCTCGCCACTTCTTTTCAACCTAGTACTGGAAGTCCTAGACAGAGCAGTCAGGCAAGAGAAATGAATGAAAGGCAATCAAATTGGAAAAGGGGAAATAAAATGATCTGTTCACAAATGACATCGTCTCATTTATGTATAGAAAACTCTGGAGACACCACAAAAAGCTATTAGAATTAATAAATAAATTCAGTAAAGTTGCAGGATAAAAAGTCAATATGCAAAGATCAATTTACATTCCAGACGTTAACAATGAGAAATTTAAGAAAACAATCCCATGTACAATATCATCAAAAAGAAAAGGAATAAACTAAATCAGGGAGATGAAAGACTTAAACACTAAAATCTCCAAAACATTGCTGAAGGAAATTAAAGAAGACATAATTAAGTAGAGATGCATTCTACATTCATGGATTGGAAG